CCCATCGTATCCAGCGGCATCGAGGCCCATACAATATTTACGCTTTCCGCGGCAAACGCATAAATATTTCAAGAAGAGCAGCCCTTTGCCCTGGGCGCCTATCGTGCGCCCTTCTGCTCAGGTGATCGCGTATGCAGCCTGTATTCAATAATATTGACTTATACAAGGCAAGAAACGTGATGATTTTACGTCATTCGCTGCACGTCGGTCAAATAAACGTTCTACTTTTATTAACAAAGTTGTTTAATTAATATTGCTTATATTCGCGTTTTGAATATGTTAATAAAAAATGTAGGTATATCAATAAACAAAGGAACGTAACACACAGATCATTAGCAAAAACCGGTTTCATACAAACTGTCCATAACTTTAAAAACAGGACTTACATACGTATGTATGTATATACTGAATACTCAGAATTGAATAGCCATTCAATCGTCCTTAAACGACAAAACAATATTTAATAAAAAATATTCTTTAGTATCGAGAAAATGCATCTGCATTGAAAACATATTCTATAATATTTATAAATTTTTTTTAATAAATAGATTTTAATATTTATCAATTTGCGTTAACACGTGCGTATTTTTTTATTCTATTTCCGATATATAAAATGCGCTCACTCTGCTTACATGAATAAAAGAGAAGTATACATGATAAACGCTCGCACAATAGCCACTGCATTCCAGTATTTTTAGATTTTTAATCGTAACGTATACTTCAATTTTAAGAATATTTCGCGATAAAAGCTTGATAAGTTATCAATATGTCACGAATTTATCTGCGAAAGAATCTCCCGCTTGGCACTGTACCAAATAAATTTATTCCGGATTAATTTTCTCCGTGCAATTTTCGCCAATTGAGACAAATTAATATATGTCCAATCGACAAAAGCAAATACGTCGCATTCCGAACACGTGTTTCCGGATGAGTCGAACTAATGGAAACGGTTACGCCGTGCGACAATAATTAGTCTAATAGATTTCGGGCGAGAAAACGGTGGAAAAGTAAGAATGCTGAACGGCATCTCGGTCGGTCGGTACTAATTGGTAATTAGACGACGAGCAATTAATCATGCCTCTTGACCCCCTTGACCCTCTTTTCCCCGTAGAGGTAACTAGGAATCCTAAGAGATCTCCCTGAGGAACTAGGATGTTTAGGTCCATTCAGCGTGGCCATTCGTTAATGAAGTCGCGTGTCGGGGCGCGAAGTTCATTTCCCTCTGAATGCGATGTGTCCGAGAATCATAATTACTGTATTCCTGGCGCATACCCTTCCTGATGCGATATACGCTCAGTGACTAACCCTTTAGTCGTCGCAGAATCCCAATTAACTTTGTCCAAACATTATATTGAAACCATGATATACTGCTTGTGTCATCTTTGCTTTGATATCTACTCATGAGATTTAAATTGTGAGATACAAGTCTCATAAATTTCTTTTACCATTGTTTCTAATTGATTTATTAGTAGAAATAAATTTTGTTTCTTTTTTTTTATGTTACATATAACTATCTCTAGCTATGTTTTTAAATAATTTTTTATAAACATAAAAAAATGGTACACATTTAGATTTTTCTTTAAAATTTATAGATTACGTAAATGCATAAAATAAAATGTATAAATATATGTATGCTACAAATAATTTCTTAAAATTAACTTTTTATATATTATTTTTAACATTTCTATATATACTTATGTAAGTACATCATTTTATATATTTTTCAAGTTTTTGAAATTCTGTGACGACAAGTTCTTTAAATAATTTTGTTACGTGAGATGGAAAATAGAATCGAACAGAAAATAGAAACTTGTGATCAAAATGTATGTATAGAAAAAGATAAAATTATCCTCCTATCCTATCGTATTACTCTTCACTGATTCGTACAGATTCCTGGCATAAATACGTGGTGTAATTCCAGCAAACGCATGCAAAACGAATTGATTAGCATGCGGCATTCTGATGTCGCATATTTACCAATTTCTGGCTGAACTACCGAAGCGTCTCGCATAATAACGCATTTGCGCGGATCTCCTTTGATCCTTTCAGTAAATCGCTTTCGACACAGAGACGCGTGGAATGTCGATATAGCCGGACGTAGCTATTCGGACATCCTGATGAGTCCCCCGTGTTCTATGAACTCCCTTTTATCGGTCAAAAACGGCGCTGGCCGCCGCATGGAATGGCATGCACCTATGATCGCGCAAGCATCCGCGGCACGATACACGCTCTCACGAGCTACGCACATATCGTATGGAAGTATATATGCATGTTAATGGAGGCGATCGTATAACATGATCTACACTCCCGCGCATGGCTATAACGTTTCGATTATAGGGTGCTGCTATTCGACCCGGCTAAACCATCGCGCATGGATTTAGCTCGGTTCCCGCTTCCAAGTGAACTAATCATTGGCGAAGCCTGATATCGGAGTCGCGATATATGTGCCAAACTAACAAATACGTTATGCGAATTCGATTAAAACAGCAGTTGAGAAATGAGCTAATCGAAACTTAATGTACTAATGATGACGTAAGTCAATAGCCACATGCTTATATATAAATCCATTTGATATTGTATTCCAATTACGCAATGTGTTAAAGCACACTTAAAGAATTAAGAGTACAAATCAAGTAAGTAACCATAAAACTGATATAAGTAACTATTACTTAAAATAAAATTTTTTTAGTAAAAAATTATTTTAAAAAATTATTACATTATTATTATGTAATATAATTCAATTAAATTTTTCTACAAATAATTTTTTACTAAAAAAATCTTATTTTAAGTAACAGTTACTTATTTATATCAGTTTTACGGTCACTTTAAATACAGAGAGTGTTCCAGATCCTGTACCAACTTTATCGCCTGTTAATAATCACTTGTTAAAAAATTCCTGAGATTATTTTTGAAGACTATACAAAATTGTCGAAGCTACAGTAATTTTTGGCAAAGTGTTTAAAGTTGACTAATTAGATTGTCAAAAATTTACACATTGCATATTGATTTGTATATCCTTATTATATGAGAAATCTCAGAAATCTGTTACGGGTGAGTCTGAGAGACACTTGTATATTTTACATTATTTTTAAATCTATTCTGTTCATGGTATTAAAATAAAACAATTTAATATGTGTAATTATTTCTCAAATAATTATTTTTAACGCTATATAATTTGGATGCACTTTGTATGTTACAAATTAACTTGTAAACAACCTTGCTGCTGCACATCACATGTCTGTAAGTCAAACTAATTTAATTTACTTTAATATCATCAAGAAAAAAGATTTAAAAATAATGTAAAATATACACAAAGTGTCTCAGACTAATCATTATTAGCAGATTTTTGAGATTGTTTATATGGTAGGGATATAAAAATCAATATGCAAGCGCTTAAATTTTTAACAATCTATTTGGACAACTTGAAATACTTTGCATCTAAAAGTTACTGTAATCTCGACATATTGGTATAAAGATTTTCGCCTACAAAATTATTTCAAGAAGCTATGATTAATGAATGATACGGTTGGTTTAGAGTACCTTGTATATAATATATACTTTAATTATTTTAATATTTCCGAATATCTTATTAACTTTATCGTCAATATCACAGATATTATCTATTATAATTTATTTGATTTTTATTCTTAGTCTTTTATTTATTGAATGGATTCATAAAATTATATGAATAGAATTATAAGCAGTTATATAAATAAAATGAGAAAAATGCTTCTATCAGTACTGAAAGAATATTCTTCAAAAATATGAATTAAAAGAAGTATTAAATCTCATTTTTGCTTACAATCGAAATATTGAAGCGCTTCTTCGAATAAATTAAAAAATTATAACTAATAATATTGAAAGATATAAATGAAAAAGAACTCTCTATAAAAGTATCTTTCGATATAAAGTTATTTGTCTATAAAAGAATCTTTCGATAATCAATTCATCTAATATCTTCGTTTTATGTTTGTTAAATATATTTTTTATTATTTTTGTCAAAATTTCTCTTGTAATGTTCCAAATAATTTCAAAATTGCTTATCTAATTTTAAGAATATATTTTTGGAGTAATTTAAAACAGTTTTTAACAAATTATTCCTTTCTTTTCTTCTTCTTTAAGATTATGAAATATTGAACTGCAAGAATCACGATTGCAGTGTTAAAATTAATTGCGGTATACAATCAGTATTGGATTTAGGAGAAGCAAGCAACCGAAAGCGACGTATCTACAAGCGAACAGCTAATCAACGAGGCGAACTGCTCGTATGTTGACAGTACCGTCGATTCCTACTCTTGGAGTCTCGTACGTGCACTCGTGTGCATGCACTGCACAGTATGCACGCCTACTGCACGTAGATATATGTATATGTGATTGTACACAGACGGTAACATTTACCGTTAGCTTCTCATTCATCCATTATATCATTTTCCACGTACTTGACTTTCCTGTGTACAAACTTGTATCCGAATGTAATTTGTTGCATGAACAATTGTATCAATAACTATGGCTTTTTCAGTGCACCAACAAACTGTTCATCTGAACTATACTTTGACAATTTGCTGTTTTGTAAAAACATTGAACGATTAATTTGATCAATAAAATTAAGTAAAAAATATATTCATGTAAATTAAAATTGTATTGAGCATTATAGTTTCACAAAATTTATATCTTTAGAATTTTAGTTCCTAAATTAAAATTTTTATAATTTACATATGCACAATTTTTTTACGTTTATATGTTTTTTATGTTTATATAATTAATATTTTCAAAATTTTAACAGAAATAAATAACACATTTGCTCAAAATTTAAAAATATTTGGTGTAAAAAAAAAGTTATTTTATATTTTATTACTTATTTCTATAAAAATACAATATAGATTTTTTGTCAAAGCGGAGTCTTCAAAAATTATGTAGCAAATATTGATAAATGAGAAGATAACGGATATTAGTATTTTATACCAGTTAACTACGTAAATATAATAAATAAATTCACTCACCAATCGTTGTATCCTTCAGGTAATTGTAAGTGCATCTTTTCGGCTGTGTACCTAGTAAAATTAATATATATTTTAGTTATAAATGATCAAAATTACATTATAATATTTTCTAGATTCGTTATTATGTATTATTTCATTATTTCATGTTGATTAAAATATAATTATGTGCAATAAATAATAATTTCAATATTTTAATAATTATTTAATAAAGGTTTCAAAAAAGAGTTTAATAAATGCTTTTAAATATCTTATTACAAATGTAATAAATATTTAAGTAATGACCAAATTATTCTACTCACTATTATTATTCATTATTACAGTCTGTCCTAGCTGCTGTTTCGATTCGTTGTTAAATTATTAAATCCATCGAAGTTCCATCGAAGAATAAATGCTGATAATTCACATGTAATTACACGCACTACTGAACAAAAGTTAAAATGCACGTTTACTAACGTAAAAATTATACAAATTTTAGTCGCGAATTTGCTTCGGTACTCGAAACGTATAAATGCAACATAAAACGTATTCATACACGTAACTATCCGATTATTACTCTTACACATTCGGTGATCGTCGCGGTACTGTAAACAAACTCGCCGAGCTAACGAAACAAGCGCTGACTACCTTGAAAAGATGGCGTAGAGGTTATCTCGCACGAATAGCATACAACACAACTACGTTTTACCCGATTTAATCCCGATAAGCTAAATTTTCAACATGCTACATGTTAATAAAAAGTACATCGTGTTTTTACTCTCTTGAGCGAATATAACGTTTGTCACATAAAAATTTCTACTAGCCTGAACCGTGCTAGTTTCAATCTACGGTTTGGAGATCGATGGAACGACACTCGTCGCGAACATTCACGATAAATAATACATTCCAGCAGTCGCCCGTCATTTTAATCGACATTCCCGACTTTCAACACTCCCGAAATTCGCACTGGCTACACACTTTTAACGGATAAAAATGTTTAATCGCGGAGCATTCACTCTTTACGTTTTGATCCGACGATAAGTAAGTAAAATGGCTGAAGATGGCGTTAGCACTGCTATTGATGGTTGATCACTGCGATTATCGCAGTGCGATATGATGCTACGTTCACGACAAGAATGCTTCTTGTACTTGCCTGAAAAACATATTATATTATATTAATAAAACACTATATTTTTTTACCGCAATAGTTTTTTTAATCAATAATTAAATTATCAATAATCAAAAATTAATTAAATCAATAATTAAATAATTTTTTAATCAATAATGAAAAAAACAGGAAATAAACTGCAATCAAATAATTCTACCTCAAATTAAAAAATTGTAAACAGAAATTGCAAACATAAAAATATTAAGTATTATTTAAAAATTCTGTTTAATGTATTAAATTACTTGTTCTTCTGTCTTTTTAGTGCGCTTTCATAAATAGATAAAAAAAGATTTAATGTTGCGTATAATGTTTATTTCAATTTTCTTTGAAGTGAAAATAAGATGTTAGAAAAAGGAGGCGCAAATGGAAGTGAAACAAAGCTTACATTTTCATTAAGATAACTTCACATTTTCTCTTTTCCATTTATAAAACCTAATTATGGAACACCGTAAAGTCGTAAAAGGCACGATAAGAAAAGGAATGAGTTGCACGTTCAAAGTTAGAGTGCATTGGTTTATTGTAGACTATCTGGAAACACCTACGCGTGCGCGTGCATCTCTCGATCATTCATTGACATTGTTGACACATCGCTCGATGAGCAAATTTAGTATCTCTACATTTAATAAAAGTTATGATAGATATCGAGAGATGCACGAACAAAAACGCGTGTGTATCGTGCCCATATTTTTGATTATCTTTTTATTCCGATGCAACGTATAGAATTTTATTTTATTTTGTTTTATCTATAGAGAATGAGTTATCGATCTTTTACATTTAAAGCAAACCAAATTTTCAGTGAAGTAATCATACTAGACATATAATATATAATAATATTATTCATCGTTTATTATTCACTATTCAGAAAATAGATGCATATCACAAATTAAAAATTATTAGCAAATACAATTTTAAATATTCGAATATTGGCTTCTATTTCTTTTAAGTAAGCAACAATGCAGTTGCAAAACTTATGCTTATGATTATTTTATTAAAAATAATTTCTGTTAAAAATAACTTCTGTACACATACATAGAATGCAAGTTGTGGGCGGATTTCTTTGAGAAAGCTATGAGTTCTCAAAACCCGCGATTTTCTGTGCGCTACTTCGCGTCTCCATTCTTCCGCAAGACGTAGGTAAGAACGATATTAGATTTACCCAGGAAGCAGACCTTTTCACGTAACCTATGCTCGGAAAAACTCGCGCGGAAAGCGATAAACGACACGTCACGGCGTGTTTTGCGATATCAATCCGATCGTCGCGAGAGCGAGATGCGCATGAAATATATTTCTGGAAATAGATTATCGGTTCGGCGACGTGGAAGATAAAAACGTTGAAGCATGTTGTCACGAATGCGATCCAACATTCCGTTTAAACGGGATAAAATACGAAATACGCGATTCAACGGACTAAATTCAACGTTAGTGAAAAATATATGCTTATCGCGTCTATTTATCGTGAATAAATCATTATATATATATAATCTTATCACTTTGATACATAAAAATGTATTACACTAAAAATATAATTAAGAATCTATGAATCTATGAATTAATTTGTTACTTTTTCATAATAATAAATATCAAATATTGATAAAAAAATGTTTATATAGTCAATTTATCGAATTTCAAATACAGTTCAAAAAGAACAAAAATATAATAGAATGTATTTTACATCTCACATAATTAATTGCTGAATTGAACAAGTTTTGTTGATAATAATATTGATCATAAATATTATCATACGAATTCAGGTCAATTGCATATTAATATTAAATAAAGAAAATAAGCATAACAGAATGCGAAGAATAGAAGTTCATAAATGTTACCATTTCATATTATTTCATCTTTTATTTGTAATTTTTACATAATGCTGGAAAACACTGAGACTGACATTTTAAATTTTATTAGAGTGTAAGGAACTTTCAACAAACTCGAATACGAATATTGAAAAGTGAATATGAAGCGATGACAAAGAGACTTTCGCGAGGACATACTTTTATATCGAATCGAGTAAGAAATTCCGTATATTCTGATAATCCATTGGTCGTCATGTAGAAAATGTGCATTGACGTTACCATATATGGGACCGTGTCCTTAATGGAAAGTTTTCTTTTTCCTTGAAACTATATTTTTCGTCGTTGGACGCATCGTATCTTCCCTCGAATTTCATCACGACGTATCTCGTATTTTGCGCGATTTCGCATGTACATATACATGAGCGTCCGCAGAGCTTCGCGCCATGATATCGGTTTCTTTCCGGAATCTAGAAATCCCTGATTCGTTCCGCCCGCTACATTGTCGTTCGTCAGGCTACAGTAAAATCCTTTATCTGGTTTTCCGGCCGCGTTTTAAAGTATCAAAATAGCTCCCACAGATTGCATGTCTCCCGCGGAGTTCGCCGCCGCGGGGGATTATATGGAATGTAAGCTTTACGTGTCATAAAATTGACAGCAGACATAATGTATGTGTACGACCCGAGGAAGATATGAAACTCGGATAGTGCAGATAAAGTTTGAATTCAAAACTTTCATCACATTACATTCATATAATATGAAAATATTATGTAAATATTAAAAAAAAAATTAAATTATCCAAAAAAATATCAAATTTAACATTCAGAAATAATGAAATAACTAAAACAAATTCAAATATTATATGCTATTACAAATTATTAAAAATCTTTTGTGTAAAATAATTGTTAAAATCATTATTAACTTTTTGTATGCAAAGTACATAATAAATGCAAAATAAATGAATAAGGATGTTCACAATAAGACGTTGATACTCTGAATAAAATTAAGGAGTAATATTGTTATTCTGTTAACCTATTACTTTTTCATCGTACATCATCCTGCGCAATAAATTTTGTGATGGTTGAAAAAATTTCATATTTGTATAAAATTTATTATTCTATAAGTTTGCACACCTTCTACTTTTCATTCGCTAAGGCGGAATTATAATTAAATCATCTGCATACATCGAGTAAATTTACTCACCAGCCGCGGTATCGCCGTTACCGCCGTCAGCTGCTTCATTCTTTGCTCGAACTGCTGCTTAAGACTTTTATTTCGCAACAGACACTCTTCCTACAAATAAAAATAAATAGTTATTAATCTACAGTCAGTATTCAAAAATTTAATGCAAAATGAGTAATTATTTTATGTGTGCAAGCTTGTCATTCAGAATATACGACAATATGCCAACGTGAAATACAATCGCGTACATCACGAACCATGTTAGGTTAAACGACCGTACTTTATTTGGCACTCTCGATATTAACTTGTACACGCGAGTAATTTTTACTTACATGAAAGAAAGCGGTCAGTAGATACGAATAGGTAGCATAAAGAACTATGAGTCAATGCCAGCTTTGATTATGATTCATTAGCTTTGATTACGGATTTGCACAAGACGATATGTATGAAATTACAACATGAAGTGCAATTTAAGTGCAGCTTAAAGCGGAGACGCACGATTTTTGACTAACAGTCTTGATGCACGAATATCTAGATGCGATGTGCTTACTTCGAGTGCCCCAGATTGTTGCAACTTCATATTGCAGTACAGCTAACATAATTCAATAAATAACTATGTAGGGCTCTTTACGAATATTCAACTCGCGAGTCAATTCCGATTCACGATCTGTCAGGTTGCCTTATTACGATGAGGCTTCTCCGATTTATCAATTCTCTTTTAACTTTAACAGACAGGCGTCAAGAAACTATACCGTGCTTCGATCAATTCTTTATTTTAGCTTCTTATTTGTACAATGTCTCGATTTCGACTGCTCGGAATCGTCGTCCGAATTCTCGGTATCGCCGGTCTCTCACGGTGAGACAAGGAGTAGGGAGTAAGATTTTTCGGTAGCTAGAGGGCGATTCAAATCCTACTCCTACAGTCGGCCATTCTGACCATTTGACCGTCCTCGGTCATGCTCGAGATAATTCGCTTTTATAATTTTCTACAAAAAAATAAAAAATACATTTAACTATAGGTAAACGATTAATTGAGTCAATCTCTACGAATCCAGGGCTTCATCTGGTCAGGACCTACGGTTCCTTCGAACGATCGCTGCGTTAGCTGAAACCCATCGATGTCCTTTACGATGTATCGATTATGGTCCAAAACCTCCTTTATGACATACGGCCCTTTGAACTTTGGAATTAACTTTTTATTGGTGCCAGGAGTGGTATCTACGTTTCGGATCCGTAATAACTTCGTATAGCATACATTATACGA